ATATGAACTCAGGATGTTATCACCGCTAGTCCAGCACATGAATCCAGTTTCCCCAACCTAGCATGCTCTCTTATTGTCCCAGGATGACTTGATTGATTGATTGATTTTGCTGATTGGGGATGATGGAAGATGTAGTTCCACACCCCTGAAGAAAGCTGCTCTTAGTAGTATACCACATTAGTTCTAGCCATTGGTGACACCAGCATGCAAAACTCCAATAAGGGAAGGAACTGAGCAGTACAGGATATATTAAGTGTTTAAGGAATGAGACAGAAATGAGAAAAGGGCAGAGATGTTTTGACGCTGAAAGTAACGACAACGGTCCTTCTTTCCATTTCCTCAGTACAGGGATGGGTAGCTTTTGTGGCTCACAGTTTTGCCTGGAGCACTGGACATGGGTCACACCAGGGAGGGCCAGAGATGGCTGGAAATGCCCCAAATTAGGATAAATTGAACTAGAAATGCTTGAACTGAATACTGTAGTTCTTTTTGGGTTTGAGGGGAGTGAGGTTATTTGGGGAAGCCAGCCATGCTAAAGCAAAAGTTGATGTTTCCGGAAGATTCCAGAAGCAGGGAAAAAAACCCCAACATTTTATTATAGATTTTTGTTTTTGCTTTTTGCATTTGAGGTCTCTGAGGTGGCCCGAAGGGTCACAGATATGCTATTTGGGTCACATTTTGTCCATCCTTGTTTTAGAGCCACAAATAATATTCTCCAATATATACTGGGGCAGATTGAAAGGGGGCCATTTCAAGGACAGACTTGATTATAACTAAGCTAAGAGTGGAATAATAGAAACTATTTTTCTGAACTGTATGAGAAAGACTGGTCGCCCTGGGGCCAGTTTGCAAGCTTCTGTGATACCGATATTTGTCCAAAACTACCCTGCCCCATGGCTGAGTGAAAATCTGATTTACTCATATCCATAAGTTTAAACAAAGACAATAATAATAAAAATGAAGAAAAGGGCCTTTTTTTCCCACAATTATTTTTAAACTTTTAAAACAACTGACTGTAAAAGCATGTATATTTTGAAATGAGGAAGAACAGTGTTTCTTTTTATATCACTCCAAAATTACAAATCTATGTTGCTTTGAAGATCAGAAAATAGTGAAATAAATGCAGTCTGTAAATATTTATTTATTTATTTAACTTATATTATTATTATTTATTATTATTATTTATTTAATTTATATGCTACCCACACTACCCAAAGGTCTCTGAGCAGCTTACAACAATTAAAATACAATTTAAAAAGATAAAATATTGAAATCAATGCATTTAAAAAACCACATGGTTAGGCAATATGGTCACTAGGATCTGTCTGGACATCTCACAAGTCGATGGAGTACAATGACTCAAGAGTGTGAGTTTGGAAATCCCCATCTCACCTCATCTGCAAACTCAGGAGGTGGCCTTAGGCCAGCTGGTGTCTCAACTGCCTCTCCTCCACCTTGAGCAGTCCTGCTGTCCTAGCTTGATTCTGGGAATTAATAATTCTGACATACAGTACCTTACAAGGTTCTTGTAAGGACTGCTGAGGTGGTAACATTAGTTAAGCGCTTTGAGCAATCGTAAAACATGATATAAACACTGAGTACGATCAGCATCATTATTATTTGGCTTGGACATTTTAATTAAGATGGTCTGGATTTCTCTTTTGCCCCAACCCCCATTGTGTGTTTGATAGCAGGGGGTGGGGTGGGCAGTTGTCCAAACATAAGCAGGCATTGACATGCTAATCCTGGCTTCTATACAAAGTCTCCTGTTCAAAGATGCCACTTTCCAAAGAGATCAGGCCTGGTGGGCTGTCGCCTGGGCATGTCCCAAACTGATCCAACGTCTGCTTCAGGCCTAGGGACAGCTACTGAGGGTGCAATTAAATCAGCTCACATTGACTTGGCCTCTCCATTATATTAGGTTACCCTCTGAAACACTCTTTGCTTTCTTAACCGCTTGCATTCAGGATCCTTTATTTCATTTCCACACAACGCCCCATTCAGAGATTTCACTTCGAATTTCAACAGTAAAGAAGTTTAGTATGGGGTCAGGGCTTGGGAAAGTTACTTTTATAGACCACAAGTCTCAACATTCTCCAATTCCTGTATACAGTTCTGCTTAGGATTCGTGTTTTCACAGCATGGGTTTCTGAAAGTCGTGGCCAAAAAATTATTTTCCTCCAAGCTTGTGGTGTATGGATACATACTATGTTAAATTGCAGAGAAAAACCGTAATGACAGAAAAGGATCCTGTTTCCCAGAATATTTGGCATTATATTAATCTTCACGCCTCATAACAATTATAGTTAATGCTATCAAAATAAGCCAGTCATTCCTTCAGCCTTTTAAAGCAACAAGATCTGTACTTGTGATGTGTACTGTAAACGTTCTGACCATTTTTTAAAAACAAAGCAGCCAAGAGGTGTGGTGGGGTGGTCCGCCTGCTTGTGTGCCTGCACTCACGCGCACACACACACACGGATTGAACGGCAGTGTGCATGGGTGTGTGTGTGTGTGTCAGCATCAGCAGATGGGGGAAGCAAGGGCTGAGGTGAGAGGCCCAGACGCGACCCTTTCCAGAGACAACCAGGCAGTTTTGTTTGTGTGTTGCTGACTTCGTTCATCCAAAAAATGACTGGGAGAATCCCTAAACTTGCCCTCTGGTTTATGACCCCGTGAGCCTACCAGTCCATCAGGTTCGCATATCTACCGTCTGAATAGGGCCTCTCCCCCGCCCCACCACCACCACCCCCATATCGAGATGGCCCCGTCTTTATGTCAAGCCAAGGCCTTTCCTGATAGAAATCCCAGCTGTGACTCAATCAGAACTTTCTCAAAACCCTTGGAAAGGCTATATCCTTTATGGCATTTCCTTCTGATGAAATGATCGGCTTTCTTGCACGCGCGTCTTTTCCCCAAACCGCACCCCACTCCACCCCCCCTCCGCCGCTTCTCTGTCCCCTTATCGGTCGGTCGCACATGATGCAATGCCCGCAGTCATTTACACGAAACTTTTCGGAACACGGAGGGCACTGAGACCTCGCGGATGCCGGTGCTCGTTCTGGCCCGGGCTAGCTTGCAGGGCTGGAGCGATTAGCCGCCTCTCTTACGTGCCGAGTCCACCGTCTCCGGGGGGGGGAGAAGGGGGCCCGTCAGCCGGAAGAACAGCAGCGAAATTCGCCCTTAAGTCCAGCTCTAGCGGGATCAGTCTATAGGGTGATACGCACGCAAAACCTTTTGCCCCCTGCAGATTGAACCCAAACTGAGCTGACGCAAAGCAGGGGCAATCAAGTCGTGTGAAAAGGTTTTTTTCCCCCTATCTTTAACTTGGGTCATCCGGAGTGCCATCCAACGGGGGGGGGGCGGTCCGACAGGCAGATATTTCACTTGGATGCGCACCTTCCAAGTATCTGGTTGTGGGGCGGGGGGGGTGAATTATCAGCTGCCTCGAAGTAATTGGTTTGGAGCACTTCAATCGACCTCGCATTCCCAGGGTTTGCAAAGCCCTGGCCAGGCTCTAAATTAAAGATTCATTTTAGATTTAAGATTCGCGGATTACTGAGTCGGGAGCTTTATCACACATAGCGTGTCAATATTTCCCTCGGGAACCGTTGTTTTTTGAGGCAACACAACAGGGACTTCCTGAAAAACGTCGGGATCGGGGGCTCCTCAAGCGCGGCCTGCGCCTAATTCTGCTCCCGTTTCATTTGTCCACCGCGAGGCTCTCCCGGGTTCAAACGCGGGTCGGCGAATCAAAAGCCGCGCGGGGCTGCGCTCCCCATCGTCGCTAAGCTGAGATGTTCAATCGAGGCCGACGATAGGGGTGGAAAACGTCCGAGTTGTTTTAGAGTTGTTTTAACCCTTCAAAAAAAGGACCATCAGCTCTGTAAAACATCGGGTATACGTGTGGAATAACATACACCCCCTACCCCCGACACGGAAGTTTTGCTTGTTTGTTACGCCTTTTTGCAAGGCCAGTGCTATCTTCACCCTCGACAGCGGACACTGCGAATTAAGCCTACTCGTGGGGAGGAAGAAAGGAAGGAGTAAATCGCAGCACTCGGATGGAAAACAAATTAATCTAATTGTATCATTTTATTTTCCTAAGCGGCCAGTAACCCATCGCGTATCCTAAGATGGTTATGACAAGGAAATTTGGCGATTTTCACTGCAATCCTCGTATCTAAACGCCAATCAGAATTACAACCGGGGGGGGGGGGGAGAAGCCCACTGAACTCAAAGGGGTTCATTTCAGCAGGGGTTGGAACAGTGGATGCTCTTAAAACACGCCTAAAGCCCGGTCCCGATCCAGTGAATGTGTGCATCGAGGACCGAGCAGTTAACGCACCCTCTTAATACTTTCTTCACCCAATATGCACAATGAACGGCTAAAGATCTCTGCTCGCAAGTAAGCCTCGCTTGGTGTATTCGTGCGCTTTGTGTCGTCTTATGTGCCGATCGCACACAGACGTCCGACCAAAAAAAAAGCACCTGGAATCTTCCAGCTGCAGGAAGAGCTTGAGGTTTTTCACGACCTAGCCTGGAACCACATAGGGCCGCATACTCCGGAGTCAAGTCGCATTGAACACGTTGAGTTCTGCATTCGAAACGGCGCACACGGTAGAAACG